ATAAATACTCAATAAAACTTTTCGCTCCATTCACATTTTCGTTTTCCATTCAATTGGATATTGAAAGATTAGTTTATCATAAATTATTCTCAATAACAAAAAATTTCGGAAAAAATCTAATCTCTACTTTAACAGACACAAGTATTAGTCATTTAAACAAACCTTCAAACTATATTTAAACAAATATTTTCAATTTACAAAGGTTGACCACACTACAGTGCTCTATATATTTTTCGATATTACACATACGGTTAAATATATATATATACTTATATTACAATATATGCGTGCTTATATAAAAGCCAAAAAATATACATAGTAAAATTAATACACACTTATCTATTAATTATAGAGATAAAAATATACAAAAACCACCAAATATTTATACAATACATATTTTATACATTACATATTTTAATTTTTATAACAAAAAAAAATATTCAACCGTGCGCAAGCACGGGTTCTCCTCTAGTATATAAACAAAACTAGTGTTTAGATATTACATATATATAAAAAATATTTTTTAAATTAATTTTTTTATGGTTTTGTATAATGAAAAATATATAATCTTAGGAAGAAAATTGCTATGATGATTTTGTATTTATATAAATCAAATAATAAGTTAATGTTTTTTATTAACAATATAAAAATATTAATTCCCTTAGTAATTCGCATAATTTTTCTAGTTTTAATTTAGATTTTAGTATCTTGAATTATTTTACTATCTTGAATTTTTCTAGTTTAAATTTAGATTTTAATATCTTGAATTAAATACAAAATCATCGTCATCATTTTCTTCCTAAGATTATATTTTTTAATAATATAATATTTTGAAATTGTTTATAGTTTTTTATAATAAAAAAGTCAAAAATAATTATAGTTTTTAGTTTTTTTTTAACAGTATAAATAAAATAATATAAAAAAATTTGGAATATTTTTTTTTGGTCAAAAACGATCAACGCCGGAGTCAACACCGGACAACGCCAGAATCAGTTGACCGGTGTACCAGAATTTTATGTCTATGGTGTTGACTACATGACGTTGTATAGTTGATGCATGTGGTCGTGCAATACATCTAGTTCGTGTAGCTGAGTGTACAATATGATACTTGGCATGTGTGATCATGCATTCCTCTATAGTTGGTGTAGCCAGCCATCTTTTTCATATGATAAACATCTCCAAAGAAAGTGTTGGAGATTCGGAGAAATTTGCATTTTCCATATTTCTTTATCCAAGGCAACAAAACAATGATGAGGAATAATATAAGTTGGTCCTTAGGGATACTGAAATAGTGGAAACTTTTAAAATAGAACTAGATCTGTTGATTCCTCATGAATATCAGAAAACTAAGGTTTGAGAGTCTTCCTATTTGGGCTTTCGCAATGAGCCTATGACCATAGTTTGTCTATAAATTAAGGGGGGTGTATTCAAATCATGATTTGGAAGGATTTTGTGGAACTTATGATATTTTGGATTTTAAGAGATATAAGTGGGATTATAAGGTATTTTTGGTGGATTTAAAAATGAGAATTTTTGAGAAATACCATTTTTGGTGTACCTCTTTTTAAAAATACCCCCTTTATCTATCCATTTTCAAAAATACCCCTTTTTAAATATAAAAATTATAAAGTTTTATATAGTTTATAAGGTACTTCTATATAATAACTACTATTAGGAGATTCGATACAAATATTTTAAAATGTTTTAAATAGTTTTAAATCGTTTTTATAAGTTTTATAAGGTTTTTAAAAGGTTTTAAAAGGTTTTATACGATTTTTATAAGGTTTTTATAATTTAATTTTACGCTATTTATGAAAGGTATATAAAGTTTTATACACATATAAAGGTAATTTGTGTATATATTTATAAGCTTACACACATATTTGGATAAATTTCAATATTTTTAGTGAGTTTTTTGATAAAGTTTGAAAAGGGGATATTTTTAAAAGGAGGTATATAAAAAGAGATATTTTTGAAATTCTATGCCTAGTTGAATAACAGGGGATTTTAAAAAAGAACCAAAATCCTCTAGAATTCTATTTTCAATACACCCCCCTAAATTTTCACAAAAATAGAGTTATTTGCATGTAGAGTAACTTTTCAAAACGAGTAGATATTGGAAAGATATTGTTCCCTTATACCCTATTAAAGTTAGGATTAATAGGATATTTAGTACATTTTGAGAAGTTAATTGGGGAATTGATACATTTACTATTCAAAATTGGCAAAGTAGTACATTCGTGAGATAGAGAATTTGTGAGATAGAAAAAGAAGGAGAAAAAAAATGACAAGGGAGGGCAGTTTTTGTTGTTTTCCGATTTTCGTTTTTCTTTTTGTTTTTTTTTATTTTATTCTTTTAAATATTCTTACCCCAACATTCTAATAACTAAAAATTCTTGGTTTTGTAATTTTTTTTCAAACTTTTTTTTGATTCACAAAAATCTATGTTTTTTTCTCTATAATTTGATATGCATTTTGCTTAGTATAGTTTAAATACATTTCATATGTATATATATTTTTTGTACATTAAAGCATATGTACAGACGTATTTGTACAATTTAGTATATGTACAGACGTTTGTGTACACTTGATTAGATGTACAGACTATATGTACAGACGTATTTGTACAATTTAGTATATGTATAGACGTTTGTTTACACTTGATTAGATGTACAGAGTACCCCGTACAGCTTACTATATGTACGCATGTATAAAAAATTACACATTTTTATCTGTACAACTACTATGATATATGAATTTATGCATATTTATGTACATATTCGTACACTAATATGTTGTACGGATGTTATTGTGTAATATTTTTATTATTGTACAAATATGTTTTTACACTTCTGTACATAAAATATGATGTACAAATTATATTATATAATCATTATATAATTATTCTAATGGCATACTTGTAAATAATATGTTTTTTGAGTGCTTAAAGGTCAACAAAATAGTAGCAAACAGTGATAATGTACTAGTTTCCTAATTGTAAATAGTGAATGTACTACTTCTCCAACACACCCTTAAAGTTATAATATTAACTAAACTGCCATTGTAATTATCAGAACTACACAATTGCATTCTCTCTCCCCCTACACAATAGCTTTGTCTTTCTCTCTCTCTCTCCGCCCAATTATCTCTCTCCCTCCATCACTTTTACTATTCTTCTTCAACGAAATCTTAGTTGTCCCATGTCTCAGACTCCTCCTTCGATAAAATCACCATATCTCAGACTCCATTGCACCTCATTTCTATTTTTGTTGTAATTCCATATCTTAACTTTGTTGCACCTCTTGGACCCTTCGATGAAATCGCTTCTACCATATCTCAGACTCCATTGCACCTCATTTGTATCTTCGTTGTAACTCCAAATCTTCTCTTTGGAACACTGTTTAGTTACGTTCAATGGACTCTATGAAAAACTATTTGCTCAGTGTCCAATATCCAATTGTCCAACTAATGTTAGATTCTACATCCATATTCATATGTCCATGTTTGGGCTTAATTGATACTTTTCCCACACCATATCCACCGGCATCGATCCATTATGGTTTAGTAACGATCATTACGTCACGACCAATGGGCTCTATCGTAAACTATTTGCTCACTTGTCCGATATCTAACTACATATACAAACCCAATTGTCCATATAATAGCGGCTCCATATGTCCAGTTTTTGGGCTTAAACCATATCCAACGGCATCGATCCATAATTGTTTAGTAACGATCGTTGTACGTCACGACCAATAGGCTCTATCGTAAACTATTTGCTCACTTGTCCAAAATATCTAACTACATATACAAACCCAATTTTTCAGATAATGGGGGATGCATCCGTCCATTTTCATCTGTCCATTTTTGGGCTTAATCGATACTTTCCTCACACCATATCCACTGTCATCTTTCCATTACGCTAAACATACTCTGCCGTAACGGGCCAATGGGGTCGATTGTACCCTATTTATTGGATGAACACTTTTTCCGGTTTACCATTCCACATCTCCCACCGCAAAATACGCAACTTTGTAACTTCCATTTCCATTTCAGTAAATTCCCGAACCCTAACTTTTACCATCGACGTCGTTCTACCATACACCATCGCCGCCGGTTACTCTTGCTATATCCGACTACCCTATTTCATTCATCTTCGCCGTTTAGCTATATCCTAAGCACCCCTTTCTTCGCTTGATCTCTCTCATTTTCGGTTACTTGCTCTAATTGTCCCGCAGATTCACGCCCTTACTACGCCGTCTTGATGGCTGGTACTTTTTCTGCTTTTATGACTCTTTGCTTTCCATTATTTCTTACCTCCCGGTCTTTGTTGGAGGGATGTGTATGGTAGCATGTCCACTGACTATTAACCTCGTGGTCATGAGAATGGTGGATACCACCTTACCTCTCTGTCAATCGTCTTGTGTTTCCTCGTTTATCAATTTTTTGGAAAAGTTTAAAGATTTTAAAAGAAACACGAGGCTTTTCTTATCCCCGTAAAACCTAACTTATCACCTTTGAAAATCGTAACTAAACTACCTACCAAACTAATCCAATCGTAAATATTTGTTGCTTTCTAGCTAAAGTTTCAGGAGGCTAAACTTGTCTTTTTCCACCAAACAGAAGCACACACTTGTGTCGCTTAGAGCATCTCCAATGGTTAGCACCATTGGAGGGTGCTTACTTATATTTTTGCATTAATTTTTTAAAAATAAATTCACAAGCAACTATATTTTGATGTTGAATTTTTTTGTAGTCCAATGGTATAACTCTTAATGAAGTGCTTAAAAACAAAAAAAAAATTAATTTAATATCAATATTATCATATTTTAAGTATATTTAAATACAAATAAATAGAAACATTTATTATAATTAAAAATAAACAAGTTATTGCATATTATAGAATATTTAAAACATGACATAAAAGTATATATGAAATCATACAAATTAAAAACGAAATAAGCGACTAGTCGTAATATTGATTTGTACCAAATTTCTGCCATATATGTTCAACCAAATCAGCTTTCAAAAGCTGATGTTTTGTTCGATCACGAACTTGACTTCGAATCTCCATCATATTGCCGATATTTGAAGGTATGTCTGTGGAATACGACATATCCACTTGTGAAGTTCTGTTGGTATCAACATGAATGAAGTCTGTTACATCAAATTGAGTGTACTCATGTCGTTCGTTTTCTACGATCATATTATGTAATATGATACATGCTCTCATAATCTTTCCGATTTTCACCTTATCCCACATAAGAGCCGGGTTTTTTACAATGGCGAATCGGGCTTGCAATACTCCAAAAGCACGCTCGACATCTTTACGGACACCTTCTTGACGTGTAGCAAATAAGGATGCTTTCGGACCTTGTGGAGATGAAATGGACTGTATAAAAGTTGCCCATTTCGGATAAATACCATCAGTGAGATAGTAAGTCAAATCATACACATGTCCGTTGACCATGTAATTCACTGTAGGAGCATGACCTTGCAATATATCATCAAAAACTGGTGAGCGATCAAGAACATTGATATCGTTTAATGTACCTGGCGGTCCAAAAAACGCGTGCCAAATCCAAAGATCTTGTGAATCTACACCAATTATACAAAAAACGATTCAATTTCAAATTCCCAATTCGAATACATAGAACCCTAATTTTTCTTTCTCAAATCCCCAATTCCTTTTACCCTAATTTTACTAACAAAATCCCCAATTACAAAGAAATTATGTGATGAACTTACCATTACAAACCCCCTTGAACCAAACCACGCATTGATTCTCCAGTTGGATCTTCGATTGAGTCAATATTTCGGATCCGATCTTGAAGTTTTATCACCACCGATTGAGCCATCGGTCGAGAGAGAGGATGATTATGACGATAAGAGAAGAAAATAACACGAATATCCCTCTCATATTACCAGAAACTGATTCGTTTTCCTTGCACAAATCTTCTTCCATGGAGAGAAAGAGAGAGAGAGGAGCGAGAAAGAGAGAGAGAGAGTCGTGACTCGTGAGAATGAAAACGCATAACTTTTTTTTTTTTCTTTTCTATTTTCCTTCCATCCAATAAACATTTGACACATGTGCATTGTTTATCTATTGCTTAAACTCTCAAATTAAACAACGATCCTTACAATTTTATCAATGTTATGCATATAAATCTATACATACATCTTTAAGTTTTTGAACAAGCACACACTAAACAACTCCAATGGAGATGGTCTTATATTCTTACCTTTCATATATATCTTATCTTTAAAGTGACTTATATTGTAAATCACCTTATATATATATGAAATACATGGTTACGCGGGTTTTCTTGAATTTTATTAAACCTTCGATAATGTATTTGAATTTGTCAATCGATAATTATAAAGTCAGTCTCAATTATTTGTTGTGCAACTATGTAAATTGTGATCTATCATACTTTAGTTTTTGATTCCATCCCAACTCTTTGTTAACACAAGATCCTTTAAAGACTCGTGTAGTTTTTTGCATCGGTCTCTTGTGGCCATTGTATATACACTCTCTGCTGGAAAGGTAAAGCATAAATAAAAATATTTTTTTTTAATCAAGTGATATTTTTATTCGTTGATGACGACACCATATCAACAAAAACATGTTGTATAGGTATAAGTTAGCTCACTAACACTAAGAATAAGGCCGAGTGAACCTCATTTGAAAGCCCAACAAAACTTGTTGATTTGTTGGTTTCATTACGAATCAAACGTGACTTCGTTGAATCCAGTCTCTCATCGGGTATGCACGCGGATCCATGCCAATCGGATCGGATTTAGTTTTGATTTGACAAATTTACTTAATTGTAAAAGTTAAGCTTGGGTCTCTTTGTTTCTTTATCTCATGTGTTTATGGAGATCCGGGTTCGCATTTACGACAAGCTGTTTGGAATTTATTAATTGATATTGGTGTTTCCAGAGCTGATCCATGAGATCACAGATAATACTGAGAAACTTCACTGGCAGAATCTACTTTCTTTCCCTTTAGGAATGTGATAAGAGATTGTCGTCTACGGGAGGTCCCAAGTATATGTAATAATTTCTCATGGGCTGGAGAGCGTAACAAGATGTGGATACAATGTCGCTTGGATAGGGCATTAGGAAATGAGGCTTGGTTCCAAATTTTTCCACGGGTGCAAGCCGAATATCTAGAGCGTATAGGCTCGGATCACCGTCCGCTTTTTACTCGTTTTGTCAATGAAAACATGTCTCGCCGGGGTCGTTTTCTTTTCAATAAACGTTGGAAATCAAAGGCTGGTTCTGCTGAGGTAGTTAGCGAGGGTTGGTCAAGAGGTAATGAAGTAGGACAGACATCACTAATGAATCGGATTGCAAATTATAGGAGATCTATATCGTCTTGGAAGTAAGAGAAGAATCAAAACTCTAAATTTCGTTCAAAGTATCAACCGGATTTTAATGTTCTTAAAGCATTGAATTGGGAGTTATCTGAAGCTTATCTAGAGGAAGAGTTGTTCTGGAAACAACAAAGTAAGAAAGATGGTTAAGAAAAGGAGACCGCAATACCAATTTTTTTCAATGAAGTGTACAACAGAGGCGTGTGCAAAACCGGATTTTATCCCTCTTTGATGTTAATGGAATTAAACAATTTTCAGAAGCTTCTAAAGGAGAGGTGGATGTCGCTTACTTTAGAAATTTGTTTACAAGCTCTCAACCAGTCACGGTTTCAGAAGCATTAGACGGTATGGCATCGCGGGTTACAAGCCGAATGAATGTGGAGCTTACTAAACCTATTTCTGGAGAGGAAATTTGAGTAACTGCTTTTAGTATTTAAGGAGAGAGTACCTTGGGCGCCGATGGAATGTCAGGCCACTTTTATCAAAAATACTGGAGTATTGTTGGTCCACAGGTGGTTACCGAAGTACAACTATTTTTTTAAACAGGTTCCTTACCTCCGGAATGGAATTTTACGCAGTTGTGCTTGCTCCCGAAGAAGCCCAATGCTTCACATATGACCGATCTTCGTCCCATAAGCCTTTGTTCGGTAGTGTATAAAATTGTCTCCAAGGTTTTATACGCCTGTTGGATAATATTCTTCTTGCGCATGAAATGGTCCATGCTCTGAAGACAAACCCACAGTGTAATGAAGATTTCATTGCCATTAAGACGGATATGTCAAAAGCATACGATCGAGTAGAATGGAACTTCCTTGAAGAATTATTGCAATGGTTGGGGTTTGATGTTAAATGGGTAATGTGGGTAATGAGTTGTGTGCGGTCAGTATCTTACTCAGTGCTCATCAATGGGTCATCCTCAGTTTTTTCGAACCCGAAAGGGGTATTCGGCAAGGTGATACGTTATCACCTTACCTTTTCATTCTATGCGCCGAGGCTTTGGTACATATTATGAATAGAGCTGAAGTTGCTGGGAGATTAACGGGATTACGTTTAGCTGCGAACTGCCCTTCGGTTCAACATCTTCTTTTTGCGGATGATAGTTTGTTTCTTTGTAAAGCTACACTCTATGAATGCTCGGAGTTTCTCCATTGTTTACAGCTTTATGGGAGAGCTTCAGGACAAGAAATAAACTTTCAGAAATCATCCATTACATTTGGTAAGAAGATGGATCCAATTATGAAAAGGCTGATTAGTTTGATGTCTGGTATTACACAAGAGGGAGGTGCTGGTAAATATTTGGGGTTACCTGAGTGTTTTAGTGGTTCCAAGTAAGAGCTCTTAAGCTACATCACCGATCGCTTGAAGGCAAGATTAAGTGGCTGGTATGAGAAGACTTTATCTCTTGGGGGTAAAGAAGTTTTGTTAAAATCTGTGGCTATGTCTCTTCCGGTTTATGCAATGTCTTGTTTTCGTCTAACTAAGCACCAATGCAAGAAACTAAATAGCGCCATGTCGAGATTTTGGTGGAATGCGAGTGAGGATAAACACAAAATCCATGTCTCAAGCTAGTGAAGTGCTAGAACCAAGTTCAGAAAGTCTCAAGCGTTTGAATTGACTTAAGGAGAAATTTTGCGAGCTTAAGACAGCTGCTAAAATTAAATTCTTCATTTGGCGTGCTTTGTCCGGAGCTTTGGCGGTTAGTGAATGCCTTAGAAGATACGGAATCGCCATCAACCCCCTTTTTCAAGTTTGTAAAAGGGGTGAGGAGACTATTTCTCACGTCCTATTTCAGTGTGATATTGCATCGCAGGTGTGGAATGTAAGCGGTCTTCCTCTCCCTTCTCAAGGATTCTCACTTGAAATTTCGGAGAATAAAGCCTATGTCTTGTCATTGATGGCTACACCGGAGCTAAGAGAAAAACTAAAAGACAGTGATTCCTTCGCTTATGTGGGAGATTTGGAAAGCAAGGAATGGAGTTGTTTTTGTCCAACATGTTTTCAACCCTCATGTCCTTTTCGTCACGGCGTTACAAGACATGGATGAGTGGTGTAAACAACAAGAAACTCGTGAGTTTGAATCTAGGGAAGGAGTGCGAAACCTTGGAGCTACGGGGAGGTGCTGGCTTTCACCGGCCCTAGGTACTTTTAAATGTAATATTCACTCGTCTTGGGTTAACGATTCATCTTTTTGTGGTGGAGCGTGGTTGATATGTAATCATATCGGAGATGTGTTATATCATGCAAGAGATGCATTTTTCTCGTTTACTAATAGAATTGCAGCAGAGTTGAGGTGCATTCTTTGGTGTCTTACAAGCTTACATGACATACACTTTGATATTTGTGAGCTGTGGTTGGATCGTAATGGAGCTTGGGAAGCTATTACTTTTCCTTCTCAGTGGCCTAAGTACCGAGCCTTCTTATACAAGATTGAACAAGTGATACGGGTGATGCGAAATGTTACTTTCCACCCTTCTTCATCGAAAGCTAACATGTTGGCTAGGGAGATTGCTTGTAGTGTTACACGTGACGGAAGGCTTACGGCGTACATGGCTCTAGGCGGTCCAACATGGTTGCAGGATCGCATTGAAAGGGACAAACGTCGTGGTGGTTAAGACTAAGTGTTTTGGCTCTGATTCATGGTTTCATGCTTTGCTTTATCTTTCTTGTATTTAAACATCTTCTTTTCTATATATTGAAGTATTCAGCGTTAAAAAAAAATTATAATTTTTTTTTTATTTTTTTTTTATTTTTGATAAACTCTATCGGCTGATCCGGTTAGCCTCGGTAGAAACACATCGAAGTGGTTCAGAGTGGACTTCTCCCCGAAAAGCCACCATACTGTCTATCCCGACTAAGGTTCTCTTTCTTAATAATTAACTAGAAACGGACCCGCGCTACAGCGCGGGGGAAAATATTTATCTAATATATAATTAAAAGTTATAATAAAAGAAGAAATCGAGTATATGAAAACTTTAAATGATTCCACTTGTAAAATATACACGCTTATATTGTATGTATGTTTTAACAGACCAACTCTTAAAAGATGTTTTTAAAAAATATTAATCATAACCCGTTTGACTATATGATTGTGAGTTTACAAACCAGTCGTGTATTACTAAATATATCATCGACATAAATGCATAATATTTGAAAAAGCATTATCCAATGAAAGTGATTGGAAATGCCATTATATACCAAAAAATAAGAATAATAAATCATTCACTTGCAAATTCTAAAATAACAAAAATGCAAATGATAAACTTTATGATATAGATGAACCATGTTAATAAAAAATGAGGAAGAGAGAATTTGGATATGGAATGGTCCAGTTTTTTCAAATAAGGAAAAGATGAATTGGGTAGATGAATAACAGTATTTATAGAGATTAACTTGTCTTCGAATTTAAGTTGATTTCCTTTTTAAAAAATTCCAAAAATATCGTTAGGATTAATTTATTTGTTGAATTGACTTTCGTAAGCATTTATTATAAAAGAAAATTAATTTCGGAGTCTTATAGAAATTTTAGGTGATGGAATATATTATTAAGATTATGAAAGAAATTCTTCATGTAAACATATTTTACTATGATTACCTTATGAATATATATTACTTATTATTAAATTTTAAATTTATTGATATTTAAATGAATAATTTTGAAATTTAATTTGCCATTGTAAAACATAAATTACGTAATTACTTATTAATTTTTTTCACATGCTTAGTAAAATACAAAATATAAAAATATTTATTATATTTCCAAAAGTATAAATAATATTTCATTTACTATAAATAATTTTTGTTTTTTGTTATTTATTTATATGGTGTATATAAGGAGTATAATATAATAAATGAATATATTATTTTCAATATGAAAGTATTTTATTCTTGTTATATATATATATATGTATATTTTTTTAGGTAATTAAATCTTCACACTTAGATATTGTTTGTTAGAATCATAAAATTTAATTAGATCTCCGAAAATAAATAATCAGAAAACTAAACCAATATTGTATTGTTTTGATTATTAGAATATTTTCTAAAACTGAGATCTCTTTGTATAAATGCTATTTCTAAATTTAAATTTGTCAGTATTATTTCCAAAAATATAGTTTTCAAATATAAGTTTTCGGAAGTTATTTTAAATGCTAATTTTTATTAAAACTTTACAATTAATAATTGTGTTCTTTGAAAATTTATATATTTTAAATATTCATATTTTCATTTTAAAATGGATAATTAAATCGTAGCCTTTAATACTGTATTAGGAAACTTTAATATTTTGGGTGGGTATTTAATCATATTTCCAAATGATTAACCATTATATCAAAGATTACAAACTTATTTGGTAATTAGAATATTATCTAAATATTAAGATCTTTTTTAGGTGATGAGAAACGTTATTACCTTAAAATGTGCAATTGTTATTCACCATTTATATTTAAATATACACAATTAATTTAGATTTCTAAAATATGCATGTATCATTATTATAGTTTCCTAAATAAGGGGAATTTTTAGTAATTGAATTTTTTTTTAATAGTTAATGTCCATATCCAAATTTTAGTCCAAAAATTAAGTATCCATCATTTTAATTTCGGGTTATTTTTCTGTTTTTAACCCGACCCGAAAGTACTTTTGTACTTCTATTTTACTATAGTAGGGATAGATAATTTGGGAAATTTGACCATAATTTTGAGATGTGTACTTCTCTTTTTAATATATAAAAAGATTGTATTTTCATTCGTCAGACCATTAAAAAATGTTAACTTAACAAAGATAAACGATATACAGTAAAACCAAACCGCAGAAAAGCAGATAAATATTTCGGCCGCTAGCTACACATTTTGCAAATAGCCTTGCCCAATGGTATTTATTTTACCGTCCCAAAAAGATGATAAAGAGTAAATAAATTGATAAACTCATAGTTAGAAGTTAGAACCATGGCCTGGTGTTACGTTTGAAGAGGTTGTTGCCATATGTTGACGAAATCATCTCTTTGAGAAGAGGATACTGCAGCATCACAAAGATCGTGACGGGTAGGCAAGCCAGTGGCAACACCGGAATCACAAGCAACGGCATCTTGCGTAACATTGTGAAAAGTGCAGTGGAGAAAGCCACAAGCATGGCTGCTATGGAGAAAAACATAATGGAGAGACCCAAAATCATCTTTTTGGGCAGTGAGACGAGGAAGTCATCAAAAGAGTACCTTGAGGTTAGGATAGTGAGAAATATGAGGACAGAGGTACATGAGGCAAAGAATGACAGTGTGTCCGCAACTGTGAAGATCATGAAACGAGAGTCTGATAGATGGAGAGGGTCCCCCGATGATTCATCTGTCCCTCCAGGGACCGTGAATATGGCTTGGAATGTAACTGTTGCAATGAGAGCTGCGACGAAGCTACATGCAGAAGCAGTGTATTTCATCCATTCCTCTGCTTCTTTCCGGAGTGGCTCATGAGCTTCTTCGAATACCTGACGTGGCTTCAATCCTCTCCGATTGTACAATGTGGATGTTGTTTCTGGCACTAGGTTCTCCACTTCCTAAATTACATTTGAAATACCAAAGGAAATCAATTTTGCGACGAATCATCCTGATGGACCTGATCACATTTCGCTACATATATATATTATACATATTAAAAGTATTAATCAATCAGTATCGATGTTCTGCATTTCCAAATCCCCCAATCTGTTCTTTCTTTTTTTTTCTTCTGAACTAAATGTACAGTAAAACCTCTATAAACTAATAAACACTATAAATTAATAAATTTTGCTAATACCAAATCGGACCAAAAATTGATAAAATTCGATAAGATAATAAGATAATAATTTTTTTGAAATTCCTATATAAAATATAGTCCCAATAATATCAATATAATTCCGCCAATTGGAACTGATCGACTTTTGTTGGTGCACACGCGAGTGAAAAAAATCTCAAATCCAAATATTTTTCAAAATAGTGAAAAGTTTTGTTTGTTGTTAGATAAATAAAAAGAATATGGGAGAAGAAAAGAAAAAGATGAGAAAGGGGCAAAAGTATCTTTTTATTATGCTTTGTGGCAGGCGGAAAAATGCTGGAAAAAAAAATGTTATAACTCAAATGGCAAGAGTTTAATTATGTAAATATTATTTTGTTGTGGATAATCTTATTATTGTTGTTATTATTAATATATCATAGCTGATAGCTATTGGTGATCAACGTGTAATTCTTTTACTTTTGACCTTGATTGAATTTTTGCATTGTTTATATCCACTAGCGGTTGTTGGAACAAAAAATATAACCAACATCCATAAAAATATAAATAACCGAGTTATCAATATATTTTAGCACCACTCGATTAACTCAACACAAATAAAAAATATCCAAATTTAATTGAATAGTTGACTTTGCTCGGTCAAAAATAATTGAATCCGCTAAGTTTAACCTCGGCGTTCGTCAAGTGGCCAACAAGAAGATACACGGATAGATATCAAATCTACTCGAATTGTTTTTTTTTTTCTACTCGAATAATTGTTTATCAAAAAATAAAGAAAACAATCAATACAATAAAAAGAATATTGTTTGTTACGTCATTTTCATAACTCAAAAGTATTTTCTGCTATTTTCCCAAAACTTTACCATAATGCCAGTTTATCTATTTGTTGCATTGTAACAAATGACGAAATTACTTTCGTAGAAAAAACAGAAAAAGAAACAATAGACGAGATCTGATAGACCAAAATTGGTTGGTCGAATCTTATCCATCAACTCGACAGACAAGCGTATAGTTTATTGTGGATAACATATTTCATAAACACATTACTTATGGTCAAATCAGTTGTGGCTTCAAAAAATTTGTATGATGGAATAGATTATTTAGTCAAGATGGAAAAGTTTGGTCCATCAAAACTGGTATGCTAGATCTGATCTATCAAAATTTTTCCATTGGAGATGCAACATATAATTCCGCCAATTGGAACTGATCGACTTTTGTTGGTGCACACGCGAGTGAAAAAAATCTCAAATCCAAATATTTTTCAAAATAGTGAAAAGTTTTGTTTGTTGTTAGATAAATAAAAAGAATATGGGAGAAGAAAAGAAAAAGATGAGAAAGGGGCAAAAGTATCTTTTTATTATGCTTTGTGGCAGGCGGAAAAATGCTGGAAAAAAAAATGTTATAACTCAAATGGCAAGAGTTTAATTATGTAAATATTACAAAATAAAAGGTTATAACTTATAACCCCAAAAAGTATTTCAAAATATTAATATAGATAATTTTATAATAAATAAATTTTAAAACAAATAAGTTCATATAAAGATATGGGAGAAATAATTGATTTATTAGGAGAGATTTTAGGAAATTTTGTTAAATGTAATAAATATTAATTATAGTTCAACAATTTTATTATGATTTAATTACATAATTTACTTTTTTGATATTTATTCAAATGGCAAGGTTTTAATTATGAAAATATTACAAAAGAAAATGGTATAATCCAAAAGGTACTTCAAAAATGTTAAAATAGACGAGATATTAACATGCGGGACAATTTTGTTTTATATAAAAACTATATATTTTAAGTTAATCGATAAAAGTTTGGGAGATTTGCAAAAATAACATTTTTACGTTACCCTTTTGTACAAATACGCTCATTTGGTGTCCATTTTTAAATATACCATATTTTCTGTAAAAAATAAATAAATTACTCTCCTTTTAGTTGAACCCATGATGAATAAAGAATTATTCCGTCCAACAAAAAAATATTACTTCCGAAAATTTTCCCGCCAAAAATTTCAGACAGAAATTTTCCCGCCAAAAAAATTCCTAAAAACCAATTTTGCACCAAAATATTTCCGCTATTCCTTAAAAACATTTTTTCCCTAGAAAAAGGGAAAATTACCTACTCTACCACGTTTTCAAAAAAGGTTTTTGGAAATAACATTTCTAACAACCCATTACCGCATATACCATTTCTACTTTTTTGGACCTTTTTACCCCTTATCCAGCTTCTGCAAAAAGAACAGACATGTGACCGTGGACAGGCACATATATTCAAAATAAATATAAAACTTTCTGACAAAATTCAAAATATCAGCTACAATTAAATAAAAAGAGAAAAACACAAAAAATACTGTAGATCAAAAAGCAAAATTATAAAACCTTTCCTCTTCCAATTTACCCTAGCCGTAACTGTAACTATCTCCACTTTTCCTTTAACACCATTCTTTTCTTTTCTTGTTCACAACCTCTTCGATAGCGACCGACTTGGTAACGTTTCAATGATTCTCTAGTACAATCTTTTACTCACCAAATGCCCCTCCAGCGAGAAACAAGAGCGACAAACATCGCTTCGACCAAGGAGCTGGTAAATGTTTGTCCACGAATAAGTTTGTGTCCATCATACGATGAAAAACAAGAGCGACGAACATTGCTTTGACCGAGGAGGTGGTAATTTTTTGTCCACGAATAAGATTTTGTCCAACGTATATATAACTAGTTATGTGCATAGACTAACTGTCCATATGTCCATATGGTCATCGTAAATAAACATCATTTCTGCGTTTTATTGTTGGGTTGGGTTTTTAAATTACTGTTCATGGTTTAGATTTGATAACTAAATAAAAATGATTTTGGTTTGGGTTTTTAAATATGTTGTTAGGGTTTATATCTGATAACTAAACAAGAAAGATAGACAACATTGTGGACAACAAGAACAATATCATGGACAACAAGGACAATACCGTGGACAAAACCATAGACAAACGAAACATCAAAAAAGTTAGACAACATCGTAGACAATAAAGGATATCTCTATCCTTCAATAACAACTTCTCTTTATATGTCTCTTAAAAGAAAATATGAGAGTTGGAAATAAGAAGATAAGAGGTGGTGATAAAAGAGATAGGCAAGCGGAAATCAAGGAAACTATAAAGAATTCATGATGTTTTAAGAAATGAGATGAATCAAATTAAAATAACGTATCATCCAAGAGAATCACCATGAAATTTGGGAAACAGTTACTATGTTTTTGAAAAGAATGACATTTCAACATAAATAATAGCGTGTTATATGTTAAAATTAAACTAAATAGCATATTACATGAAAACTTAACGTATTAATAATAAATATTTACAAATATCGTTTGTAATTCCAAAACATAGCATGTTACAAAAGAAAATGATAAAAATAAGAGAGAGAGAACGGATGAAAGAAAAGAAATCTTGTGTAAGAAACGTAGAATACTATAAGTGTTTATTTAATTCTGAAAGAAAATATGTAATATATAAAATGAGTATAAGAATAATTATAACTGAAGAGAGAAAATGCATTTTGACACCATGGTTATTTACAAAATTATTTTCACATCTGTAGTTATTCTGTTCATATTCTCAACTAATAAACCATTTCTCTTAATTATTTATGACCCTTATCACTTATCCTTTTTTTAGAAAGATTATTGATCGAATTTACGTCTACAAATATTTTTATCAATAGCTGTGCTAAACGTGGCTACCTGATAGGTTTTTGAAAGATCGAAAACAAATGGACGACTATTTTTAAAGACGAGTGGAAAACATGTTTGTCAGTATGACACAAGGAATACATGAAAAAAGAAAATGTTTTGCAGGCGACTATCTTTTAGATGAGGTTTTTAAACAAAGGAAAATTAGCAACAAACCCCATTTAGGAAAATAAAAATTCAGTTTTATTTAGAAATTGCATTTTCTTGCAAACTTTTGTTCTGTTAGAAATAGAAATGCCTTTAAATAAAACAAAAATGAATACAGAAGGTAAACATAAAAAATCATTTTAATAAGAAAATTGTTATAATAAAAAAATGTAGTAGAATCTAATTTTATTATATCTTTTGGATATTTTTCAATATAATATTTAAAAATCTTTGTAATTTGACTAATTACAATACTGGGCCAGTATTATACTGGCATTCTCGCAATTAAAAGGTACTATAAGGTTATAATGAACTTAAAAATTTTACCGTGCAAATAATTTTAATTTGTGTACTTTGAAATCATGTTGTCAAGAATTCTTAGCCAATTATTCCTAAAAACAATTTGAAGGAAAAACAGAAAATGGGTTAATTAGCTTAGAGCATCTTTAAATGGATAAGTGGGAGGATGGTGCTTAAGAGTTTTAAATTATTATAATAATATAAGAGGTTAATTTAAGAACCAAAGTTATAGAGTCCATTATTGTTTGAACCTCAAGAAACTTAACCATTAAACACATAAAGGTCGGATTTAAAGTATATGATAAAATGTGTTACATTTTTTTGTTTATTTAAAAATAAATTATATTTTTTTAAAAATTCCAAATTGACCAATAAGGAGGAAGTAAAACCTTACTTTTATGTGTATGATTTCAAACAATAGAATTTTCATATACATAAATAAAATATTAGAAAATACTATAGCTAAAAAGTATGAAATTAAATATGCTATATTATTTATCGAATGGACCAAAACATAAGAAAGGGTAAAATATATGTCATATTATATCTTATAAATGCTATGTTATACTAAATTAGGAAAATGTTTGTTATTTGTATGTAATAAATTAAATAGTATGTAATGGCTAAGGAATTTATAGCAAAGTCTATTGATTTTTTTAACTTATAAAAATAAATGTTGAAATATTTGGTTTTAAAAAAATGGCACATGTCACAAGGAGAGATGACACTAGACAGCAGTTATTTCATAAAAAGCAGTTTAGCATAATTTACCCCAACATATATACTAGTGACCTTCGCGCGGGTTTATGTTACCCATTAAATTCTAATTCTATTAAAATTCAATAACCATTTTAGTTTTTTTAATAAAGGGTATATATTTTTCTGTAACTATTTTAGTTTACCATTTTTATTTGGTGATATGGTTTTCGAATTACTAAAAACATTATTTGTTGAAACTACCTAAATAAAACCGTAATTTGTTTACTATCAATAATTGCGCATGGCATATTGACATTGGTGAAAGAAAGGACGGTAGACAGTGAAAACATACTTAACAAATTATTCTATCGTCCGTTAATACTTTTAAAACATGTCAATATTAGATTAACCTAAACTCAAAATAACAAAACACAATAACCAATCCTCCCCACCTATAAATAGCCAAGAACACATGATATAGGTTTTGCATAATCAATCAATCTTCTTAGATATTTAAAATGGGTAAAACAAATTGGTCAATTTTTCCTCTTTTAAAATCTAAAAACAAGAAAGATAAGGGTAGACAAATCAAACCAATAAAAAGAAGTGAAAGAGATTGAAGTGTGAAGCAAAATCTGACGTGTGAGATATCTTTATACGTTCCTCTTCTAATCTCTACAGATCATATGGTTCGGTGGCACCTTTATTCACCAAGCAAAAACACCGCTTCTATTCAAACATCTCTTTTTCATTTTCTTTTTCTAGATCTCTTCTATTATAATAAACAAAAAGGTGTAATAATGATTCATCAATCATCAGAATAATACAAAAATAAGGGAGAGCTCTCTCTCTCTCTCTTGTTACCAAAGATGAGCTTCTACCAAAGAAGCTTTCACTCTTGCCTTGACAAGACCAACAACACCAAAAAGATGTTGTTTGAGTACTCCGGTCTTGGACATGATGAGGTGAATCGTTTGATGTTGTGTACGGAGTATCTAGGGTTTGAGAGTTATGACATGAGGATGTCTGAGAATGAGGTGGAGGACAAGATGAAGTGTTGTCCGGAGGTGGAGAATGAAAGGGTCGAGACCAAGAGGAGGAAGATGGAGGAGAATGTGGTGGCCCGAGAGGGGAAGAGAGAGTTTCCTCCTCCTCTATCGACGTTGAACGGCTTAGGGCAACGGTCTTTTTATCTCCGGCCGGTGAGGAAAGACGGTAGATTGGAACTTACGCAAGTTATGATCGATCGACCAGAGATTTTTCATGCTTCACGAGAAAATGGACGGTTGAGATTACATCTTGTCGATAGTGCTTATTGTGATCCTGAAGAAACTGTGGAGTTAGAAGATGAACCTAAGGGTCTAGATAATGAGCACGAGGTCGGCGAGATTAATGAAGAAGACAATGATGCTACAAGTGATGATGATCAAGTGGTGGATTTATCTATGATCAATGATGACAATGGTACAAGAAGTTGGATATCTAGAAGTAGTCATGAGGTTTCGGTGAATAGTAATGATGTTGCACATATCCATGATGACCATGTCCATGACACAAGAGAATGGTGTTACAAGAGTTGTTATAAGATTATGGCAAGTATGAGCCATGATGAGACCAATCATCATCATCATCATATTCATCCATACCATCATCATAATAGTAACAATAACATGCATGTATGGACCGGGGCGTACGTGAAGACCAGGTGAAGTTATCAATGTTTTACGTGGCGGCTTGACAGCTATTTTTGTTCTGGAAGCTTTGTATGTTTAAAAAATTATTCGAAAAGTCAAAGTTGAGTCACATATGATAACGTGTGAGTGTATATGTCGAGTATTATTCGTTTAAGATGCTTATGTATATGACTTCTACAATTGAAACAGACATCTTGTTACAGTTACGCTTCAGTATTCATATTATTCTAATGTTGACTAGAATATTTTTTGAGAAATGCCCTGAAATAGTAATATAGTATATTAATCTAAGTTTTACATGCCCGTTACGTTACATGCGAAAAACTCATTTTAATATTATTTTTGAGATTTTCTATTTTTATTTTGTAATTTCTATCATTTAATGTTGAATCAAATACACATTAGCGATTTTTGGTGATGGCATTTGTGGATTTGCCATTTTTGTTGAAATTTTATGAATTTGTTATTTTAAAAGTTAAAAAAATATGATTAAATATATATGTGTTTTATTTGTTACGCTTGGGTTTAGTAGATTATAATTGTCTTTAGAGTTTACTGTTTACTATAATACGATGAAATTATGGTATTACAAGATTTGAAATTTTTTTAACTTTTTTTTCTTGAAAAGTTTAAAAATAACAAATTTATAAGATTTTATCAAAAATGACATATTCATAAAATTTGCCCTAAAATGGTATTTTCGGTAAAATAAAAACTCTTTTAGTGTTATAGAATCGAACTTAGACAAATCTATGCATGGTTGTTAATCAGGAAAAGATCGAGGAACTATATAGAAAAACAAAAGGCAAATATACATATATAATGTCATTGGTCTCATTACTGATCGGTCCAATTGTTGTTGGTCGTTCACACGTGTGACGTTGTCCGAAGCCGACAGTTGAAAATTGGAATATTAATGTTGTCAGGATCTGAAAGCATTTATAACACTCTCATTTCCGACCACAATCGACGACAGCTCACAGGACTATAACTATAAGACAGATATAATCACACCTACAAGGTACAATGCATATTGCAAAGTTCTTACTTCTTAGGATTCTTTGAAACGATTGTGAACTGAAGTAAAGCTTCGACGGGTTATGATATGAGGCATTGAATTTTGGAGAAGAAAACAAAATCTTTAGAAAGAGTTCGTAGTCCATCAAGGTAAGATGCAATAAGAAAAGTGATGAAGAAAATAATTAACTAGAGGAAATGAGGAATGTTAAGTATGAGTATGACATGACTTGAGTAAGTTCGTAGGATAGCTTTGACTTTGAGTAAAGGAGAATAAATAGAGATTGCATGAAACTTTATAATCTACCGGTTGTCTTAACGGTTGTTTCGTAATTTTTGGAAGTTTTAGAAGTTTAATTGATTTTGGTTAATTTGATAGAATTATAGAGTCCAGATAAAATTGGATAGAAGATAAGACGTGTAAGTGGAATTGGGTAGAGATTGAAAGTATAAGAGTAATTAGGGGTGGACGTTCGGGTATCCATTCAGATTCGATTCTGGTTGTTTAGGTTTTTCGTGTTTTCAGGGTATAGAGAAAAAGGACCCGTTCAGGTATATTTATATTACGTTTTAGGTTCGGATAAACACCCATCAGGTTTGGATGTTTTTGGATTATACGTAAACTCTTGAAATATATTCTGAGTTCAGATCGAATTTTGTTTTTTTTTTTATCCGAACTAAAGGAAAAATATAAGATAATCTAAATATGTTTTTTTTTAAAAATCAATCCAAATTCATCAAACAAATATTGTAAACAATGTACCAAACTAAACAAAGTTATTGTAATGATGAATGAATCAAACCAAACTAAAAAAAAAAAAAAAAAAATTCAAACAATAAAACACTAAATTCAAGGAATATAATAGTATGAACAGAGAATCAAAAGATACCAAAAAACAAAAGAGGAGTAATATATTGAGTGTTATGATTGTGAATAAATAAGTTTGGATTGTTCGGATTCCCATCTCGAATGTTCGGATATATCCAATCGGCTTCGGATACCGAATTCATTTTAACATAAACATCCAATCGGTTATTTTGTATGATTTACACTCAACTCAAACTGCTTACTCCGGATCGGATTTGGGTGTTGGGTGCAGGTATTTTGCCCACCCTTATGGTGTAACCTTGAAACGCTATTGGTCGGAAAAAAAAAAAAAAAAAAAAACCTTGAAACGCTGTATTGCAGAACGAAAGCCCAATTCTTATAAATCAAACATGACTCAAAAGCCCATTTTCAGGCCCAATAACTAATCTCGAAGAAAAAACCCTAAATCCCAATCACCATCTCCCTCACTCATCTCCATCTCCATCAACCTCCATTGATCTCTAACACTAAACCTACTAATCTCTCTGTTCGCTTCCACAGCTTTTGCCTTGTCCAGAAACCCCTTTGTACGAGTTCTCTACAAGCTTATTTGAGCTTATCTGAGATAGTTCTTCGAGTTCTCGACAAGGTGATTTGAGGTAATCTCAAAATTTCTGGGTTTTAGAGTAATTGTAGTTTATGGAATCGAAAAATCAAATTCTTATTACTCTCTGTGTGTTCTCTGCTTCAAGACTTCAAATTTAGTTTCTTTGCTCTGCCCAAGTTGAAGTTTTGATGATGATGGTGATACCTTTATAGGTTGATTGATTAGTTTCTTTATTGATTTCAGAACAATGGCAGAGACTAAACCATTGATTGGTCTTAAATGGGAACCAAAGCTTCCAGGTTTATCATTAGACATGAAAACTGGTTCAAGTTCAATCAAAAGAGCTGAGAGTTCTCTTTGGACATCTAATTCAGAGCTTGTTGATGGTCTTTGTGTTCCACCTAATGATCCAAAGAAGGTTAATAAGATGATTAGAAAGCAAATCAAAGATACTACTGGTTCAAATTGGTAATCTTTGCTTACCCTCGACTCGGATTATATTTACCGGTTTTCGATTGGTGCTGATGTGATTGAAGTTGTATTTTGAACTGTGGTTAGGTTTGATATGCCTGCTCCTACAATGACTCCTGAGTTGAAAAGAGATCTTCAGTTGCTTAAGGTAATAGGTTCTTTGCTTTGTTGTTGTTGTTGTTGTTGTCTAGCTTGGTTTCATCGTTCTAACACCGTTCTATTTGTATCGTTATTGTAGTTGAGAACTGTAATGGATCCTGCTCAACACTTTAAGAAGGCTGTTTCACGATCAAAAATAGCTGAGAAGTATTTCCAGGCAAGTTTCAAGAATGGCAACACTAGATCAAAGACCAGATTTTTTATGTTTCGGGTTCTGTCTTAACACCAACTCTTGTTGTTTCGTTTGTGTCAAACAAAAAACTACAGATTGGTACAGTAATTGAACCAGCTTCAGAGTTCTATGGGAGATTGACAAAGAAGAATAGAAGAGCAACTCTTGCTGATGAGTTGGTTTCAGATCCTAAAACTTCTCAGTACAGGTTAGTTACTACCATTGTTTATTAAGAAACAATGTATAAGAAATGCTTCAATTCTGTATCGTAAACATAGACAGGAGAACGTCTTTTTCGGTTATCTGGTTACAAAACCTTTAGTTTGTGATACGTTTAGTTAAATTCATCTAACTATGGACTTGATAATGGAATTGGACTTATGTGGCTATGTTAGTCTTATAAATTTCCAGCCTTGTTTCACTTCCATTGATAATGGTTTGTGATATTGCCTACGTTTCTGTCAAGTATTATGATAGGTGTTAATATAAGTGTGTAGCTAAACTCATAATCATTACTAAGCGAATGTGTTTGTGATGATTATGGTATTACAGGAAGCGTAAAGTTAAGGAAATCGAGGAGAAGAACAGAGCTGTTACGAATAAGAAATGGAAGAAGGGAAACACAAAGCAAAGAAGGAACTGAATCACAACTTTTGTTAGAGTATGATGATAGTTTTGTGACACATTTTTCAATTCTAAAATATGATCCAATGTAATTCTAGAATATGATCCAATGTACTGGACACACTTTCTTGTGGTGAGCTATAGATTCATCTTACATTGTAATGACCAATGACTCTTGTTGTTTATGGGCTTCGTTTAAAGAATCTGAGTTGCATAATAATGTTTGATAGCTTTTACAATAGTCAACAACAAAGCGCCACGTAGCCAGCTTACTTGTGTTCTGTCTGAACAAAAATGTGGTTGGCCTTGAACCTGAAATAAAAACATTATCCAGAAAATCTAACATTCCGACCAATCACAATCCAATACAAAACACAAGAAAATGTAACAAAATCTCTATCTCTGAAACTCAATTCTCAGGAAAAAAAACAATGGAGACTCTACTCTCGCCTCGTGCACTATCTCCTCCTCTCAACTCCAAGCCGTCTTCGACTCATCAGACCAAACCCACTTCACATTTCTTGTCTCTTTCAAAACCCACCACCTTCTCCGGTCCTAAACTCCTCTCCTCCACCCGGTTCAGTAAACCAGAACCGAGAGATTGGTTAACAGATGCAAAGCAAGGTCTAGCTGCGTTAGCTTTATCTCTAACACTCAGTTTCTCACCTGTTGGTGCTGCTTTAGCCTCTGAGTTCAATATCATCAATGATGGTCCTCCGAAAGATACTTACGTAGTCGACGACGCTGGTGTTCTAAGTCGAGTGACGAGGTCAGATCTTAAGAAGCTTTTGTCTGATCTTGAATACAGAAAGAAACTCAGACTCAATTTCATCACTGTCCGAAAGCTCACTGTGAGTTTTTGTCTTTTTCTTGATCTTGTTCTTGTAAAATTGATTTTTAGTAAACCGGGAGTTAAACCGGAACCGGTTTGTTAATTTTGGCAGAGTAAAGCAGATGCATTTGAGTATGCAGACCAGGTTTTGGAGAAATGGTATCCTTCAATTGAAGAAGGTAACAATAAAGGTATTGTTGTTTTGATCACAAGTCAGAAGGAAGGAGCTATTACTGGTGGTCCTGCTTTTATTGAAGCTGTTGGTGAAAACATTCTTGATGCTACTGTCTCTGAAAATCTTCCTGGTATGGTTGATTCTCTTGGTCTGGTGTAGTATTTATATAGTGTACTGTTAGTATTTTGATGCAGCATCTAGTGCATACAACTAGTTGGTTCTCTTCAATATCGATTTCAATTCGGATTTTTCGGTTTAGTAATCGAAGTAGAACCAATTCTAGTGTTAAAATCGTTTGGCTTGATTTCGGGTTTGGTTTGGATTAGGTTGTAGGTTTTAACCAACATAATAGTAACTATGTTTAATTTGCAATGGTATTGATCAGTGTAGGTGTTAGAATTTTGATGCAGCATTTTAGTGCACAAACTTGTTGGTTCTATTCAGTATCGATTTCAATTCGGATTTTTCGGTTTAGTAACCAATTCTAGTGTTCAAATCGATAGGAATGATTTTGGTTTTGGTTTGGATTAGGTTTTAACCAACATAACAGTAACTATGTTGAATTTGCAATGGAACTGATTAGTGTAGGTGTTATAATTTCGATGCAACATCTAGTGCACAAAACTAGTACTCTTCAATCTCGATTTCGAATCGCTTTTTTTTTGTTTAGTAACCAAAGTAGAACCAATTTTAGTGTTAGTTATCGTTAGGAATGATTTCGGTTTTGGTACCAACATAATAGTAACTATGTTGAATTTGCAATGGAATTGATTAGTGTAGGTGTTAGAATTTTGATGCAGCATCTAGTGCACAAAACTAGTAGTCTTTAATCTCGATTTCGAATCGGATTTTTCGGTTTAATAACCAAAGTAGAACCAATTCTATTGTTAAAAGCATTTGGCTTGGCTTAGGTTGTAGCCAACATAATAGTAACTATGTTGAATTTGCATTGGAATTGATTAGTATTTGAAACTGAATGTATGATTGTGCAGTACTTGCAACGGACGAAAAATACAATGAGGCGGTATACAGCAGCGCGAAAAGGTTGGTTGCAGCGATAGACGGTTTACCAGACCCCGGGGGTCCAACAGTGAAGGATAGCAAGAGAGAATCAAATTTCAAGACGAAAGAAGAAACCGCAGAGAAGAGAGGACAGTTCAGTCTTGTCGTTGGAGGATTACTTGTAATTGCCTTTGTAGTTCCCATGGCACAGTACTTTGCTTATGTCTCCAGGAAGTAAGTAACTCGGTTCACTCTCGTAAACCAAACCGCGAGATCAGGTTATTTGGTTACGATTTCTTGGTAAATTGGTTCATTTGAGCAATATAAGTAAATAATGACAGAAAAGCTAAAGAATGAATGAAACCAATATGATTGTAAACAGCATTTTCTAAAATTTTAAGCTTAGAAAAAATGGCATCTGATCTGAAAACGGCGGATCGGAATACTTCCCGGTTAGTATTTGAGATGACACGAAGTGGTTTGCGGCTTCGGTATAGTGAATTCCATCCCAGTTTATGTATTCAGAACTGTCGTTGCAAGCTTTGGCTGTTAATGATATCCCATCTAAGACTTTAGTTTGGCCACAAGTAATACGGCTATCGTAGTTTAAGGGCGCCCCTCCGACTCCACAACACGCCATTAACGGGTTTTCAAATCCTAAAACAATCAAAATCTTGTTATAACGAAGAACCTCAAGACAGTTAAGCTATATGTAGTTTGGAAGTTCAAATAAAAGACCGTAAAAGCTTACCAAATCGGGAATAGTTAGCGATGAGATTAGACTTGATAGAGAAAATATCAACATAAGTAACATTTGAATCCGGGAACTGGGCTTGAAATTTGTTGGACAGAGCATGTAGTTGAAGATTGAAGAGTTTGGCTGCTTGGTTATGAGAACTAACACAACCAAACTCATCGAGCTTTGTCGAATCTGTCCCAAACTTGGCAATGTTTTGAGCTAAACATCCCAAAGGCCCTGTGTTATGTATCCAGAAGTTTCTGCCACCTTCTTCATATAGCCTCTGCCAAAATTTTCAGAAATGTTTTAGTATAGGTCCGGTTTAAGACGAAACTAAAGCTATAAAAAGTGAGTTACCTTGAGTCCAACTTCAAAAGTTTCAAGAATGGAAGGTATAGAGGCAATAACTTGGTCAAGAGACTTGGAGTAAAATGCACCAGCTAAATCATTTTGGCCTATGTCAATCATGTATAGTCCTTTTGCATAATAATCAACTGGTGGTAAGTACCTTTCATATTTCCTTCCTACCAAATCATTCAAAAAACAAGATTTGCTTCATTTACACATCATATAATATATATACGCATCCCTTACATCTCACCTAACAACATTTTCAAATCAACCTCACCTGTTTTAGATAATAGTTCAAGTGCCCTAGATTTGAACCGGATGAATTGAGATATTTGAAGATCAAAGGAGAAGGGAGAAACCGAGGTCGGGTTAGCGGGAAGAATTGTGGATCCTGCGGCTGCAAAGTTACACCCTTTCTTGAAATTTGGTAAACCTAATGAATCCAAATATGGATTTAGAAATGGCATGTCCATTGCATCCACTGCACAACACAAAAACATATATCAAAACATATGGTATGAAGTGAACACCAAATCAAATAAGCCATTTTAATGAAGAGCAATCATATATACATAGAAAATCTATAATTAGACGGCCGTCGCAATATCTTCCTGAGGGAAGGTTGAAGTAAGTTTGGCCATAGGGAGGATTAACACTTTCAATCCCGGCGGATATGAGATTGCCCGTGTCGGAATTCGAGTCCCCTAAGTTGATGATTGCCGGATATTTTAGGATTGTTGAGAAATATGAGGGGAAGAAGGAAATGAAGATGAAGAGAACAATGAAGAGATTGTTTACTATGAGAGCCATTGAGTTGAAAACAAACGGTCGAGCCATATGTAAGCAAACCAACTATATAAATGGTCGACAACAACTTTGAAACTTTTCGTAAATATTTTATTCATTTGTTTTTAGAAATGTATACTATAAGATTGCTTCAATGTTGCTTCATAAGAAAACTTTTAACGATATTAAATTTGGTACCAAACGGTCTCGTACGTTAGTGTCCTTGAGTTTTCATAAACTTTAGCTAATGAAATTTTGATTGTGTCTTTATTTTGTAATTTTTTTTGGTGGATTGTAATCGGATGGCAATAATCATGTATGTAATTATATAAACTAACATATATAATCAAACGAAGAATTCTTTAAAAATGATATGTAAATTTTGTAATTTTTGTTTGTATTTACAGTTTGCAAATATTGTTTTGATTTTTTTTAAATGAGATTTTATGTTTTAATTCAATCTTAATGGAAATTTTTAATTTTAAAATTAGTGGACTCATGAGTTCTTTTTTTTTTCTTGTAAATTAAAAAGTAGGATGGATGAGTTCTATCTATAGCTTTTTTCTCTTTTTGGTCGGATGTACTAACCTTTCAATATTTAGTAGTTAACCTAACAAAAAATTTGGTATAACATGAGTAACCCTGAATATGTAAGCTCAACATTGTATATACTGGTTAAAATAAAGTTTTTCTTCGATAGATAGTAGATAAAATAAAAACATAACTATTAACCATTAGTGTAAGAAGAGACATATCTATTATATGAAATAAGAAAATGTTGATAACTAAATAGAGGCAATATAAATTTAACAAGACTTACTTAGAAAATCAATAAGAAGACGTCCATCGCAAAATCTTTGAGAAGATGTTTTGAAGGAGCTTTGTCCGTAAGGAAGATCAAGACGAATGCCGAGGCCAGCAACGAGATCGCCGGTATCGGAATTGGAGTCTCCGAAATTAAAAGCAGCAAGATAATTGAAATCAATGGAGTTTGATTTCTTTATATACATGATAAATAAGACAATGACATAGAAGATTTTCATCTTAGTTATGTTCATGAGCTCTCTCTCTCTCTATTTGTTGTTTAAAATTTGGCTTTTGAAATTTATAGTTTCTATTTTGTCGATGTCTTTTCAAATGTGTTGATGCTTTAAATTGTGGAAAGAGGAAAACACTATACAAGCAAGATTGTTGCTTTGAATCTCGCTTGCAAGTCTTACTATCTTTGTCTATATTTTATATGATGACTCACAAAAATACATTTGATCGTTAAGTTAATTACCAAAATTTTGTTACAATGGTTTTTCTTAATCTTATATTAACCTTTTGATGATT